TTCTCCTGCTCTCCGTCACTCTCTCTCTCTCTCTCTCTCTCTCTCTATTGCTCTCTCTTGCTCTCTCTCTCTCTCTCTCTCTCTCTCTCTCTCTCTCTCTCTTTCTCTCTCTCTCTCTCTCTCTCTCTCTCTCTCTCTCTCTCTCTCTCTCTCTCTCTCTTGCTCCTGCTCTCGCTCTCTCGCTCTCTCTCTCTCTCTCTCTCTCTCTCTCTCTCTCTCTCTCTCTCTCTCTCTCTCTCTCTTTCGTTCTCCCTCTCTTCCTGTGTCTCAATTTCTTTCCAATCCAAGCATCGTGCGTTCATAGCATCAATAGTCACCCCATGTGTGTCTTTTTCTGTGTGTATGTGTGTGTGTGTCTGTGTCTGGGTCTGGGTCTGTGTGTGTGTGTGTGTTTGTGTGTGTCTTTGGATGTATGTGTGCATGTGTATCTTTGTCTGTGTGTTTGTGTGTGTGTGTGTGTTTGTGTGTGTTTGTGTCTGTTTCCGTGTTCACTACTGCATACACACGTGCACAGCCGCCTGCCCGGCCGATTGCGACTTTGAGAGCGGAAAGTGCAAGTTTGAGGACGACCACACCGTGCCCATGTCCTTCACTCTCGACAACGGCGGTACCCCGAGCTTCAACACTGGACCGGCGGCTGATCACACGTTCAAGAACTCAACAGGTACGGGATGACAGCATTCACAGCTTGAGCTCCGATTTCCCGCTTACTGTACTGTTTGAATGTTATTATAGTCAAAGACTCATGTTCATCTTTCTCCGTGTAGTACAACGTAAGTTGGATGTCGTACTGTTAGGTTCCAGAGGTCCTGAATGACAACTGTGTCACATGCTTAGTCTCTCGGTGTCTCACTTTTCTCTCTCTTGATCTTACTATCTCTCCCTTTCTATCTATCTATCTCATTCTCCTCCCCCCCCCCTCTCTCTTTCTTTCTTGTTCTCTTTCTCTGCTCGCTCTCTGCTCTCTCTCTCTCTCTCTCTCTCTCTCTCTCTCTCTCTCTCTCTCTCTCTCTCTCTCTCTCTCTCTCTCTCTCTCTCTCTCTCTCTCTCTCTCTCTCTCTCTCTCTCTCTCTCTCTCTCTCTCTCTCTCTCTCTCTCTCTGTCTCTCTCTCTGTCTCTCTCTCTGTCTCTCTCTCTCTCTCTCTCTCTCTCTCTCTCTCTCTCTCTCTCCTCTCTCTCTCTCTCTCTCTCTCTCTCTCTCTCTGTCTCTCTCTCTCTCTCTCCCTATCTCTCTCTCTCCCCCCTTTTCTCTCTCTCTTTCTCTCTCTCTCTCTCTCTCTCTCTCTCTCTCTCTCTCTCTCTCTGTCTCTCTGTCTCTCTGTCTCTCTCCCCTTTCTCTCTCTCTCTCTCCCCTTTCTCTCTCTGTCTCTCTCTCTCCCCTTTCTTTCTCTCTCTCTCTCTCTCTCTCTCTCTCTCTCTCTCTCTCTCTCTCTCTCCCCTCTCTCAGGTCACTATATCTACATTGAGACGTCTGGAGCGACAGCTGGTAACAAGGCACGCGTCATCACGAACTACTTCTTCCCGCAGTCCACGCCGCTCACCACCACGTTCTGGTACCACATGAACGGAGCCACCATTGGCACACTGCGCGTCGTGGTGCAAGACATCAACTCCACCACGTGGAGATCGGTACGCTTTAACCCCGCGTTTAGAATCATCGGGAATTGGTTGGTAGGTGGGCAGGGGGAGGGGGGGGGGGAGTGGAAGGGAAGGGAAGGGTGGGGGAGAGGGGGAGTGCTTGCCAGCGTTTAGCAGTACATGCAGTGCAGAGGCATCAACGTACATATCCTTGCATGCATTGGGGATTTCTCTTCTAGGCATTGGGCACAACAAACCCTGAAGCTTCCACGAATATGTGCGTTTGGGTTAGCAACCAGGAGCCAGAGCCTGAAAACAGTGAATTGTTTTAAATACTTGATCACGTTACCGTCACTAAACACGCTTGGCTGGCCTTAGCATTAGTCAAATGAGCAGAAGAAATGAGGAACGAGTGAGGCCAATGAGGTGAACACACGCATACAACTCCAGAATAGGTAAAACAAAAATCTGAATTTGTGTGTGGGGGGGGGAGGAGGAGGAGGTTGCCTATGATACCGGAAAGGATCGATCTCCACAACAGCTTGTCTCCGATTGTAGCGTGGCCTTCTGACGCAGGCTTGAAGGCGGCCCTCAAAACCATTCAGCCCTGACCCGAGTACAGTTGACTCCACTTATAACGAACTCGCATATAGTGAGTTTCGTGGTATAGCAAACCGCGGTCCATATCCTTGTTTGAACCCACAGTGTGGGTGTATTTCTGTTATAACAAACTTCGGCTATAAAGAACTAATTCTCCTGCACAATGGTGTCCGTTACATCAGGAGTTGACTGCGTTTGCATTCCGTGTTTTCTCCTCCTTGTCAGGTTTGGTCCAAGACAGGCAACCAGGGTAACTCCTGGATCCAGGCGGCCGGCATCGTCGTCAACTCGGCCAAGATGTTCCGCGTCGGGTTCGAGGCGTCGGCCGGAACCAGCTTCACTGGGGACATTGCGCTGGACGACATCACCTTCACCAAGGGATGCGGCTTCGTTCCCAAGCCCACCGGACCACCTCCACCAGCTGGTAAGGAAATCGAGAACTTCTTCTTTCTCCTCTTCTTCTGTTGCTGCCGTGACCGTAATTTTTTTGTTTATTTATCTATTTTTTATTTATTCATTCACGATCACGTGGCACTAGCCAATGAAAAGGGGATGTGGGCGATAGCCAGCCGTGGTGGTAATAGAGCTAGAGGGGAAAAAGAAAAAGAATCAAATGGGAACTGTACCACTGCAACTGCTCAAGATACAGAGTACGAGACGAAGCAACTTTGAAATCCTCGAGTTTATCATGCCTAAGAAAAGAGAGGGAGCTCGGCAAAGCAGATGCTGAACGGGGAGGTATGCATCAAAGATGGCCGTCGCCTTTTTGCGGTGCAAGTTGCCCCATACTTGGCAGGTGCAACCCGTTCTAGTACATTTATGAGTATGACCTCACAAAGTTCATGATCTTTTATGCAGAGTTGGTATCAAGGTGTGTACGGTTGTAGTCGACTTGTCCCGCAAAGCCTAGTGGCGAAAAATTGATGAATACGTCCCATTGCGTGACGCACCTAGTGAATGGTGCATTTTGCAGCTGACTGCAGGCGCTGACTGCGAGGTCTTCACCTATCATAGTTTTGTGTGCTTGAGCGTTCATCAATTCAGCTGGTGTGTGTGTGTGTGTGTGTGTGTGTGTGTGTGTCTGTGTGTGTGCGTGCGTGTGTGTGTGTTTGTGCGTGTGTGCAATGTTATTCTTGTAGGCACGACCGTTGGTGACTGCGATTTCGAGACGGAGAACTGTTGCTGGACTAACACTCGCGTGGGTGACACGTTTGACTGGGAGTGTGGCCGTGACTCTACGGTCTCACAGGGCACTGGTCCCAACGGGGATTACCCCACTGGCAAGGGTAAGTGAAAGTTCTGTACAATCACTGCAGCCCAGCGCTGGTTCTCTCTGCCTCTCTCTCTCTCTCTCTCTCTCTCTCTCTCTCTCTCTCTCTCACACACACACACACACACACACAAACATTTCATGTTCTCTTCTATTGTCTTGCTCCTTACCACAGGCCACTTCATGTACATCGAGGCATCGACTTCCAACTTCTTCGCCCAGGCCGACCTGGTCGGACCGTTCCTGAACGGACCCGCCCGTCGCGGACAGTGCTCATTCACTATGTGGTACCACATGCATGGAACCAGTGTGGGAACTCTGCAGGTCAGTTCAGGAGAGCGGTGGGTCGGGGCCGGGGGGGGGGGGGGGTAAATGACCCCGTTTCAATGGGAGCAAAGAGGGTCATAGTACCCTTGGAGTGAACTCAGGAGGGTGATGGGGTAATACCCTTTTTGTGGGTAGGAAGTGAGTTGCTGTGCCTACTGGCAGTGAAAAGCCAATTGACCTCGTCCATATAATTCATTAGTTGAGGGTGTCGAAAAGGGAAAAAGTCTGAAGAAAAAATTGACTTTCACCACCAGGACTCGAACCAGGGACCTTCGCTTGAGGCCAACAATGCTCTGACCTCTGGTCTCCGCCATTTGGATTTGGCGCCTTTTTTGTTGCCTATGGTATTTGCAAGACAGTTAGTTTTGAGAAGTCAATGTGTTTTTCCGTATTTGTTCTTCTCAAAATCACAATCCACGCTACCTGGTGGATCGACATTATCACGAATGCTTTTATCAGATGACGAACGGAAAGATGACCGACAGTGGATGTATTACTCCCGATATAATGCTTGCTTTTTTAATTTCTGTACGTGTGTGTTTCTGTCCTGCTGCTAGATCCAAACTATCCTGCAGGGATCACCGCCGTTCTTCTTCGTTCCCGGCCTCCGCGTGCTGTGGACCCGCAGCGGCGAACAAGGTAGGGAGCAGTGCTTGATTGCAGCGTGACGGACATTAGAAAGCTGCAGCGACAGAGAGAACACCTCCTGTTTTCAACTGGCCTGGATGATCTCGTATCATCTGCCGTTGCTGGCTCATTTATATGGGGACATACAAGTGTTAGGGATCAATATTGGACTTCGGAGCCAACCGACCATTCTTGTGAGATCTTACGAACTCACATGGGTGACTTTGGTGCATTATTTGCGTTTGTGTGCATATCCTGACCAAGCTGTGCTTCTTGTCTGCTCTCCACCTTGCTTTGTGCACACACACAATGCACACACACACACACACACACACACACACACGTACGCACACACACACGTACGCACACACGTACGCAGGCAACCAGTGGCTCAACGCCACCGTGGACCTGTACGGTACACACTACGGCGGCACACCGTTCCAGGTGATCGTCCAGGCCCAGCGCGGTGGCACGTTCAGCTCTGACATCGCCGTCGATCACTTCGTCTTCTCATCCGGCTGTGGAAGTCTTTTCTTGAGTAAGTTGGTCTACGCCAGTCTCGTCTCCTTTGTTTCGTTTCTGCTACAGTAAAACCTGATGTAAGCGACCTCTGTGTTTAGCGACCACCCTGCTCTTAACGACCGTTTTTCCATGCACAGACAGTTCTACACAGAGACCTTGGGACCTGGTTTTAGAGAACACCTGGCTTTAACGACCGCTTTTGCTTGCACCGTGGGGTGGTCGCTTAGACCGGGTTTTACTGCGCTATTTTGTCACCGCTTTGTTCTTGTGTAAGCCACGCCAGTCTCGTCCTCCTTGTTTCGTTTCTCCTGCTATTTTATCACCGTTTGCTCATGACCGGCTCGTTACGTGCATCCTCAATATTCACACACACACACAAGACGCACAAGGAAGGATGGTAGAGTTGTGTGTGGCAACTCCAAGTTTCTTGCTTTTAATGGAATCATCATCAAGCGACTTGTGGCGCTGCTAAATATTTATATTTGTTTCTGTTTTTGGAAAAGTCGGCGGGGAGAATTCAATCTAATCAGAGCACTGCAGAGTACAATTGATGCAGACATGGCCACACAATATCACTAATTTTTCTTGTCTTTTTTCGTGTTTTGCTCATGTTTTTGCAGAGAAGAACCTGTGCGCGTCCAACCCGATCTGCAGGTCTATCAATTACAACCACACGGGATTCACACCTCCACCTTACAGCAAGGGTAAGCCCGCGGTGTCAGCATGTTGTGCATGCTGTTGCTGCGCTTGCGTCACTCCGTTGTACGTGCCGCTGGTGCACCGTCTTCTGCCCCCTCCCCGGTGACAACCGTGTCGACCGTGTGTCGTGGACATCGCACTGCCGTCTGCCCAATGTCGGCCTGGTTCGGCCATGAGGCCTTGTGTCCCACGCCTTTCAGTGCCCCACTGCTTCACGCTGTTATCTTTGATAGTATTCTAGTTCTGGTCGAGTGGATTCACGTTCTTTTGCCACCCACTTTCATGGCCGCATTCTCCTCCCCTCTCTACCCCCCCCCCCCTCCCACTCTCCCACTCGCTCTTTCTTTCTCGCTAATTTCCTGCTTGTCTGTTTGTCTGTGCGTGTGCCCGTGTGTCTATTATCTGTGCGTATATGTGTCTGTCTGTCTGTCTGTTTGTCTGTCTGTATCTTTATCTCTCTGTGTATCTGTATGTATGTTTGCCTGTCTGTTATCTCTATGCGTTACCAGACTTGACTGGCACATGTAACTTTGACGGCGGCAACTGCTATTGGACGGTCAGTGCCTATGGCGATGTCCCATGGATCTTCCACGAGGGCAGCACTGGCTCCTTTGGCACCGGCCCTAGCAAGGACAGCTCAGGAAATCCTTTCGGTAAGTCGATCTACAGGTCTATGTCCCATCCTGTGTCACGTTATCCTTTCTCCCATTCGCCACGTAGTCCTTTCCCTGGTCTGTCGCCGTGTATAGACGGTACGTGACCTCGCACTACCCCCGCGCTACGCACAATACCATGCACTGCTCTCATGTGTCTGCAAAATAAACGACTTCCTTATGTCAGTTCATGACCCAACGGTCTACCCTCGTTACCCTGGGGGTTTCGAAAGTCTTGTTCGGTCACGAGTATTATAATCATACCCTCCGGGCGTGAATGTACGCGTTTCAGACGTCATGGGATTTTTGATCGTTGTGTATTTTAAAGGAGGATTGTTTTGTCACCGATGTTGTACTACCCCGGGTAGATTTGTAGTAGCGTATCAGTAGCTAGCCGTACGGTGGTCAGCTCGGTCGGAAGCGATGTGCACACGGCAGGGTCGAAGCAGGTCCTTCCTGGCACGCCCGGCTGTTCTTCTTGATTTGACTCTGTTATCGTATCCCAACTGGATTTCTGGGTGGCTTTAGATAATTATAACGTACATATACTTGAGCGTGGTCGGGAAAGATGCCTTTTCTTCTGTTCCAACCAGTGACGGTGAAGTTGGTTTTTCCCCAGGGGGAAATGTCGAGTTATTCCAAGTGGTTTTGTAGTTTTGCAGTCACACCCGGCCGTGGCATATCCGTCCTTGGGTGAATTTGGGTAACTGTATTTGGTGATACATGTACTAGAAGCGGGCAGTTGTCCTCAGAGCGCAAAAGCTGGATTCTGATGTTTCCTTTGCTCTGCTCGATTCAGGACACTACTACTACCTGGAAGCCAGCCTTGCGCAGACCGGTCAATGGGCCCTGCTTGAAGGCCCGCACGTTCTTGCCTCGCCCACTGGTGCATGCACAATGACGCTGATGTACCACATGTTTGGCACCCAGATTGGCACGCTCTCCATCAATATCTACAGCAAGATCAATGGATTCAAGACGGTAAGCTAGCAGTCCTTCCGTGGTTTGCTTATCCTGATTTATGTTCTTCTCTCACTCACTCACTCACTCTCTTTTCCACACACGCATAAGCATGCCCCCCCCCCCCACACACACACACATGCGGGCGTAAGCACGCATGCACACCCATACACACACACACACACACACACACACACACACACAAACCTTGAACCTTGAACCTTGAACTTGCCCATTGCCGTAGGCAATGATAGCGAAAGGACTAATTCAGCGGCAACCGGCAGAAAGGTTCGTGGCGCTTGAGATCGCCAAACTCCCCCCCCCCCCCTCTCTCTCTCCCTCAGACAGGTGCACAGCATGCCCGTCACTGCTCTCGTTACTCCAAAGCAATACATATACCGACCCGAGTAAATCAAGCTCTAGATGAAAATTGCGTCTTTGTATTCACTTGCTCTTCCCCACAGGTGTGGTCTCTCTCCGGTAACCAAGGCGACAAATGGATCAAGACTCCCACTATCCAGCTTAGCAGCACCACTGCATTCCGCGTGCACATCATCGGTACCCGTGGCAACGGGTTCACTGGGGATATCGCCGTCGACGACATCCAGTTCAGCAAGACTTGCCTCTATGCCAGTAAGGGATGCGTCTTCAGCACGCCTGGCGTACATACACTGCATGCAGTCTTTGCCTCCATAGGTCATGGTAGCTAACTCTCCCCTTCTCTCTCTCCTTCTGTCTCTCTCTATTCTCTCCCGAACACATGCATGCACGCATGAGCACGTGTGTGCGCATGCACATGCCCGCTTAAATGTGGCCCATGTGGGTTGCGCGACTGATCTTCTTTCTTCTCGCAACTCTTGTCAACGCCGTTGTGTTCTGCCCTGTTCAGACATCAGCTCCTCGGCGTACGGTGCTAACGCTCTGTCTGACGGTTGCTCTGATCGCAGTCGCGAGGGTCTGTTTGACTCCACGCATATTGCCGGATGCGGCGGTACCTGGTCTGGACGCAAGAACCTGCGTGCTCCTCCAACCGTTCCCATCGCAGGTGAGTCGCTGCTCCTGTTCTGCAGTCGGAATTTATTTTTCTGCCGTGCGACTTCCAGTAGGCCGGGAGCGCCTGGTCTCGTGTGAGCTGTGCACGAATATATCGCAATTGGCATTATTTTATTTTATTCAAAGAGCACTCTTTGCGTGATGGACAATTAGAAGCTGCGTCTAAGAGTATATGTCCAGCAGATAGAGTGGCATAACTGAGCTGTGTGTGTGTCCATACTTATTCGTTTTGGATGTGTGTGTGTGTGTGTGTCTGTGTGTGTGTATGTGTGTGTGTGTGTGTGTGTGTGTGTGTGTGTGTGTGTGTGTGTGTGTGTGTGTGTGTGTGTGTGTGTGTGTGTGCGTCTGTGTGTGTCTGCGTGTGTGTGTGTGTGTGTGTGTGTGTGTCGGTGAGTCTGCCTGTGCCTGTGTCTTTGTATGTGTATGTCTGTGTATGTGTGTGTGCGCTCCATAGTCTGCGGTAACAAGTACGGCGGAACGACGAACCGCATCTGCCAGCAGCCCGCCGACCTGTGCGAGCCCGGATGGCACATCTGCGGCTCTCTGAAGACGGGCATTGATGAGATTCGTGACAGCATGGTTGGATCGCAGTGCTCCACTGCTGGCTATGGACGGTTCTCCGCTGGTGTCAACCACTGCCACTTGAGCAAGGTAAGCATGGCACAGGTCCACCCCCGGGGTTGGTACAGTGAAACCTGTCTGAGACGACCGCTCAAGGGACTTTCAAAACGTGGTCTCTCTTACCAGGTGGTCTCCTTATCCAGGGTCATTTGACTGGAAATAGCATCCCGTGGTGCTGGTTTCAGTGGTCTTCTGGGACAGGTGGTTGGCTCATCCGAGTGGTCACCTTGACAGGTTTCCTGTAGATAACCCCGGCGGCTTCAAATTGTTTATCTTAGAACGAGTATTTTCTACTATCAGGCCTTGCATGTACACCTGTTAAATGCGTTTCAGGCGTCGGAGGATTTTGGATTGTTGTCTGCTAATGAGGTTTGTCGTGTAATTGATGTCGTACTAACAAGGGCATACCTGTACATGTATATAGATAATTTGGACTGAAACTAAATTTCTGCCCGAGTTCCTCATACACTCAGCATCCTTTGTTCGCTGCTCTACTTGTTCATCGATCTTGAGCCCGAAACCAAGGTGGATTTCACCTACATGATTGTATTTCTATTCCTTGTACACTCACGCATGTTTGCTGTTTGATGTGTGTGTGTGTGTGTGTGTGTGTGTGTGTGTGTGTGTGTGTGTGTGTGTGTGTGTGTGTGTGTGTGTGTGTATGTGTGTGTGTGTGTGTGTGTGTGTGTGTGTGTGTGTGTGTGTGTGTGTGTGTGTGTGTATGTGTGTGTGTATGTGTGTGGTGTGTGCACATGTGTGTATGTGTGTCTGCATGCGTATATGTGTGTGAATGTGTACGTGTGTGCATGTGTGACATTCCAGGCATGCACGAGCGCTGTGCGCGGTCTCGATTACGGCTGTGGCGTATTCGGCAGCCCATGCTCCGAGCCACTCTGCTGTGGTGCCGGATGTAACGGATACGACAACTGCAACTCCGCCATCTTCCCCAACAATCAGACATCCTACTACAAGGGTGTTTCTCCCACGGCCGGCTGTGGCTACATCAATGCACAAGAGGCTGGTGGAGTCATGTGTTGCAGTGAGTACAGGTCACGTGTGTGTGTGTGTGTGTGTGTGTGTGTGTGTGTGT